GTAACTCAGTGGTAAAGGGTTTATCTAGCATGTAGGAGGCTCTGGCTTCAATCCATCACCAGTGTGGGGAGAAAAATCTAATTGGCAATGATCTCTTAGATATAACAGGCAAAAATAGCCAAGTGAGATTATGTCAGACTTCAAGACCTTGTGCATCAAAGCATACTACAGAATTAAAAGGCAGTGTACTGGTGGTGCACACTTGTAATCCCAGTGACCCAGGAGCTGGGGGAGGAAGACTGTAAATCCCAGGCCAGCCTGGACAATTTAGAGATGCGTTTCTCCAGCCTACCATTGGAGAAACCTTGCAAATCATACATCTGAGCCAGGTGCAGTGGTGCACACCTGTAATCCCAGTGGCTCAGGAGGCTGAAGCAGGAGGATCACAAGTTCAAAGCCAGCCTCAGCAATTTAGTGAGGCCCTAAGCAATTCAGTGAGACCCAGTCTTAAAAAAGGGGTAGGGATGTAACTCAGTGGTTAAGTGCCCTTGGGTTTAATTCCCAGTACAAAAAAAAAAAAAAATTCTAGTAAGAGGTGAATATTCAAGATATATGTAATAAGGGACTTCTACAACTCAGTAGCAACAACAACAAAAAAATCAATCTGCTGAGCATAGGGGCACATGCCTGTAAGCCCAGGGACTCAGTAGGCTGAGGCAGGAGGATCCCAATTCCAAGCCAGCCTCAGCAACTTAATGTGACCCTGTCAAAATAAAGAAATTTTTAAAGGGCCAGGGATGTAGCCCAGTTAAAGCACCCCTGGGTTCCATCCCTAGTGCTATAAAGGCAAGGGAGGTGGGGAGACAAACCTGATTAAAAAAATGGGCAAAGAACTTGAATAGACATTTCTCCAGAAATGGTCGACAAGCATGTGAAATGATGCTTACTATTATGAATTATCAGAAAATTGCAAATCAAAATTACAGTGAGATTGTCACCCCCACACCCATTATGATGGTTGCTGTTTAAACAAAATCCGGCAAGTAACAGGAGCTGTTAGGGATGCAGAGCCTTGTGCACTGTTGGTACAGCTGCAAAAATGATGCAGCTTCTATGGAAAATAGTATGGAGCTCCTCAGAAAATTAAAAACAGAATTACCATTATGATCAGCAGTTCCTCTTCTGAGTATAACTCCAAAAGGGTTGAAAGCAGGGTCTGGAAGTGATATTTGCATACCCTTCCTCATAGCATCATTGTGCACTCATGCCAAAGAAGGCAAAGGCAAACTCAATATTCATCGGCAGATGAGTGGTTGTACAAAATGTGCTATCTCACACAATGGAATATTATTCAACCTTAAAAAGGAGGGAAATCCTGTTACATATTATAACATGGGTGAACCCCAAGGAAATAATGCTAATGGAAAGAAACCAGTCACAGAAAAAAGATGAGTATTGTATGATTCCACTTATATAAAATATTTAGAGCCAGATGTGATGGCACATACCTATAATCCTAGCAACTCAGGAGGCTGAGGCAGGAGGATCACAATTTCAAGGCCAGCCTCAACAATTGAGATAGATCCTATCTCAAAATAAAAACAAGGTCTGAGGATATAGCTCAGTGGTAGAACATCCCTGGATTCAATCCCCAGTACCGGTGTGGAGGGGGGAATCCTTAGAGCAGTTAGAATCAAAGAAAACACAACAGTGCCTTGGGGGTGGGAGGACTTGAGAATTAGAGAATTTCACATTTGCTAGATGAAAATATATTAGATATTTATTTCACCACAATGTGAATATACTAATATTTAATAGTACTGAGCTGAACTGTACACTTACAGTGGTTAAAGTGGTAAATTTTATATGATGCAGGGTTTGTTTTTATTTTCTTTAACCACAATAAAACTTGAAAGCATACATTGTAGAGGACAAATAGGAGGATCATTGTTCACACTCCTCTTAGGGATCTGGGAGGGGCAGTAAACACAAGGGTCCTGCAGCTTAGGCTTCCATGAGATTCACAGCAAAGCCACTGTGGTTGACAATTCTAACCCTGCCCTTCCTTTGAAGTTAGCAGAGCTGAGCTGTATACTACCTCCATTTTCTCACTCCTGTCTCTCTCAAGGCAGAGTCATACAGTTCACAATTTATCTTACATTCTCTTGTGGACTGTCTCATGTGTGTCTTTTTTCCTTTTTCCTTTTTGTGAACCCAGGGCCTTACTCATACTGGGCAAGCACTTTACCTCTGAGCTTTATCTGAAGCCCCCTCATGTATGTGTCTTATCTGCCAAATGTAGAATAAATGTTGTCTTCTTCTACACTCTGTAACTTCCTTACCTCTGTTTTATTTGTTATGTGGTGCTGAGGATGGAACCCAGTGCCTCACACATACATGAGAGGCAAGTGCTCTGCCACTGAGCCACAACCCCAGCCGTATCTAATACTTCTTAATGGTTAACATATTTAGGAGTTTTTGTAAAGTGAGAATTGTTTTTGAATGTAATGAGAATTTTATAAATGCTAAACATAACAGTGAGTGAAATTGCTGAATAGTTGTGTTTCAAGGACATTTAAGCAATTTTGTTGATTTTTATAGTTATAATTTTCTTTCTGTATTTTGGACTTGAGTTTTTTTGGGTCCCAAACATTTTCATAGACCCCTTATAAACTTATAAACTCTTGATATTAAGTAGAGTGACTGATGGAGAAAGTGCTTATATTCACGCTTCTGCTGAGAACTCTTCTGTGACCCTGATTTGATCATTACACAGTATCTGCTTATATTGAAATATCACACTGTATCTCATAAACATGTACAATTATTATGTTTCAGTTATACAAAATAAACGAACAAAAAAAGTCTTCTTTCCACTATTCCTTAAAAAAAACAAAAAACTTATATGGCCCGCAGGACTCAAAAAAATCTAGCTCCTCCTACGTATTTTTTTTTAAAAATATTGGTACTAGGGATTGAACCCAGGGACACTTTACAACCTAGCTACACCCCAACCCTTTTATTTTTTATTTTGATACAGGGTCTCACTGAGTTGCCTAGGCTGGCTTGGAACTTGGAATCCTCCTGCCTCAGCCCTCCTGAGTCACTGGGATCACAGGCGTGCATCACTGTCCCAGCTCCTTCAACCTTTTAAGGGTCCTCTTGTACCACACTCTCACACCCACATGTCCTAGCCTCCTGTTGTTCCCTCGTGTTCCTTGATCACCAAGCAACTGCTTTTCAGCCCAGCTGAAAGGTCACTCCTGAGTGGAGCCTACCCTAACCACCTCTATAAAGCAAGTCTCCCTCAGTAGTAATACCTGGCTCCCCAAGTGTGTATTTCTCCTATGAGGATGCTGGCTCCCTGTGGACCAGAACCTTCTAACTATTGTATTTCCAGCACTTAGCACAAAATCTTACACAGCTATTATTACACACTTGTTGAACAAATGAAGAGTTATATTAACACAAAATTTAAACATTCTTGTATTGTTGATATGAACTTTACACGGTCACATGAATTATTTGTTTAAAACTACTGAACTCTGTTTGCTAATATTTCATTTAGGGTTTTTGCATTTGTCTTCACAAGTGAAGATTGGTCTTCAGTTTTATTTTTTGTACCATCTTAGTCCAGATGGGGCTCAGGAATATATGTTAGCCTTCCGGAAGAAATTAAGAACCTTTTCCCTTATATACTCATAAATTTTAGAACAGGTAACATTGAAATTATCTGTTCTATGAAAGTTTGGTAGAATTCACTCAGAAAAACATTGGTGATGTAGTTTCAGTGACTGTTTTTTGAATAGCTTATAAATTTCTGCTGTGGGTGGTTGTTTCTCTAATTTTCTTGAGTTTATTTTGATAGTTTCTATTTTCCTTGACGATCATCCATTTTCTTCAGGTTTAGTCTTCAAGTTTATTGACATAAACTTATGTGTAATTCTCATACAAAGTGAAAGCTCCTTTCTGAATTTAGTTGTATCCTCTTTCTCAGTTCTAATGTTCATTTATCACTTCTCTCTCTCTTTTTTTTTATTGATCAGATTTCCTAAAAGATTATCTACTTTTGTTGTGTGTTAAAAACAAAAAGCAGCACACACCTATAATCCCAAGTGGCTTGGGGGACTGAGGCAGGAGGATTGCAAGTTCAAAGCTAGCCTCACCAACTTAATAAGACCCTGTCTCATAATACAAAAAAAGGGCTGGGGATGTGGCTCAGTGGTTAAGTGATCCTGGGTTCAATCGCTGGTACCAAAAAAACCCCAATAAATAAGAAACAGATGTGGGGGCTGGGGTGGTTGTTGCTCAGTGGTAGAGTGCTTGTGTAGCATGTGCAGGGCCCTGGGTTAGATCCCCAGGATCGCCAAACACCACCACCACCAGAGATGTTGGTTCTGTTGATCTAGGCTAGTCTTTTATTGTTGCTGTTATTACTTTGTATTTATACTTTCATCATTATTAATATCTTTTTTGGGTTTATGATTCTTTCTTAGATTTATTTTTTTCTGTACTGGGGATCCAATCCAGGTGTTTGAGCTTGCTAGGCAAGCACCCTGTCACTAAGCTACATCCCCAGCCCTCTTTTTCTAGTTTTTTGTTTTTAAAAGTACTAGGGATTAAACCCAGGGGTCCTCTACTACCGAGGTACCCCTGCCCTCAGCTCTTCTTATTCGTTGAGATAAAGTGTCGCTGAATTTCTGAGGCTGTCCTGGAACTTAGGGTCCTCCTGCCTCAGTCTCCCAAATTGCTGGGATTGCAAGGGTGCATCACTATGTCTGATTCTTCTTTCTAGATTTTTGAGTTAAATGTTCAGTTTGTTATTTAAAAGTTTTTTTCTAATAAAAATATTTTGAGTAATGATAAGTAACCTCCAAAGGTGCCAGCTTTTTTTTTTCCTTTGTGCTGCTGGGGATTGAACCCAGGGCCTTGTGCATGAGACAAGTACTCTACTAGCTGAGCTATATCCCCAGCCAAATGTGCCAGCTTTGAAAGGTAACATTCTTTAGAATGTATAAATTCTTGTTTTTTGTTTTAAAAGGTAAATTGCTTTATTACTTTATATCTATGCTGTATAATAATAATTTTAAAACATTGTTTAATTGTTAATATAAAATACAGTGGAGTCCAATATGTCTGGAAACACAAGGAGAATAATGTATTTAGAATTTTTTAAAGAATATCTTTATTTATTTTTCTGTAGTGCTGAGGATTGAACCCAAGGCCTCACATGTACAAAACAAGTCCTCTACCACTGAGCTACATATATTTACTATTGTACTTGTTTATTTTAGATGAGCAATTGGATAAATCACCCTTTAAATTTAGAGGTATTGCACACACACAAAAGTGTCTGTAGGTTGAAGAAAAAACATTATCTCAAAATGTGTTTTTTTGGCCTGGTGCAGTGGCGCACGCCTGTAATCCCAGCAACTAGGGAGGCTGAAGCAGGAGGATAGCGAATTCAAAGCCAGCTTCAGCAAAAGTGAGGTATAAGCAAATCAGTGAGACCCTGTTTCTAAATAAAATACAAAACAGTGCTAGGGCTAGGGGTGTGGCTCAGTGGTGGAGTGCCCCTGAGTTCAATCCCTGGCACCACCCCCCAAAATGTGTTTTTTCTGTTTCCTGACTTTTTGTGCAGCTTGTCATTTAACATACAAGACAATACATTAAAACATTTGTACTGTAATATTCTACCTTGGGGAACGGAGACTTGGACAATTCAGTTTCATGAAGTGATCATATCCATCACAAATTAAAACAAGGTGGCTGTATAGTCAGTCTCCATGCACTTTAACATATTGAGCATGCGCTATGTTACCAAGGCTTTCTGTAACTCATCTGGAAGGTATTGGAAGGATAAAAATAGAGTAAATGTTCAGAATTTCCATCCTAGGAGTTTCCTGCTTTTGCCTACATCTCAACTGTCAGTCTAGGGCCTGTCTGTTCTGTTCAGTACTGTGCAGAGACAGTGGAAGCATTTTATACCACACATATCCAAGCTGCCAGATCGTCTAGGCGCTGGCCTCTGCCTGCCCTGAAACAGCGCCTTTCCTGTTCTTCTCAGAGTGGAAAAAGTGAAGGAGGGAGGTTGTAAAGACCCAGGAGCCAGGAAGAATGTGTGGGGTTAGACAGCATTAGCAGATTTCTTTTCAAGGAAAGCCTGGTTTCCAGCGTCCTTTAGTTCTTTGCCTGCTGGCATGTCAGCCTAGGTCACGTGGTAAAAGCACCATCAGGAAACCTACCTTTCCTGGCTTCTAAAGACAGGTGGGGTCTGGTAAGTCACAGGCCATCTCAATGACTTTCTACCATTTTAGTTGTTTTGTTTTTTTAAGCCTCAAAACAGATAGAATGGATGGGCGTTTCTGGACAGTATGTGACTTTCATTCATCTGAATTACTTATAATTACACAGGACATTTCTTCCTGATCAGCCCAGCCTCCCCCCATCCTCTTTTTTGGTACTGGGGATTGAACCCAGGGGCACTTTACATAAACATTGAGCTACAACTCTAGTCCTTTCTGTTTTTGAGACAGGGTCTTGCCAAGTTGCTGAGGTTGGCCTCGAACTTGTGATCTTCCTGCTTCAGCCTCCCCAGTTGCTGTGATTACAGACCTGAACCACTGCACCTGGCTAGCCCAGGCCTTTTAATAGAGGTCCACGCAATTTATTCATTTATTTATTCACTTGCTATTTGGGGTTGGGTGTGGGGCCTCACAGAGCAGTGAAAAAAGATGCAGTATATGCTCTCAGTTTACAGTCTACAGGGAAAGATCAACATTAAGCAGATATTTTTCACAAATACTAAATTGCAGCTATGACCATTGCTTTGAAGAAGTCGTAAAGGGTGTCATGGGACTATTTAACAGGAAGGCCCAGTCTAGATGAGGAGGTTTAAGAAGCTTTCCCTGGGCAGTGACTGATTTTTGACATGGCCAGGATAAGGTGAACAGAAGTGCTACAACAAAAGAAGCCAAGTAGAGAGTTTGAGAGCCGAACTCTCGAATGTCCAGTGTGTACACTCTGTACCTGCTGAAACCGAGGCCCAGAGAAAGGAGCGGTTTCCCTTGACTAATGAAGTTCTACTTCCTGTCAGCTGCAGGGCTAGAGAGGCAAGCTCAGAGTGGGTTTCTTAGGTGGGTAGAAATCAAGATGCCTATGGGAGAAGAAGAGACTTTGGGGTGCTGGAAGCCAGGTAGGTTTTAATTTAGTGCCTAGTTTCTGTCAGTTGCTGAGCTACTTCCTTAGGTGGGGGAAGGGATTAAAGATGACTCAGACCTGCCTTAGCCCAGAGGAACTCAAGTTTGCAGTGCTGTAGCATGGTTTTATTTGGGTTTAGGGGAGGAGCCACCACACAAAACAATAAATGTCACGTTCCGAACTGGGAAACCAGTCCCTGTTCTGCAGCTGTGGGTTGTATGATTTGGGATGCCACTCTGAATTGCCACTCAGTTTATGCTTGGGCACATTCCCTTTCAGTCTTTTTCTGTGCCATTCAGGAGCTAGCCAGAAATCAGTTGTGCCCTGTATTTCACCTTAAGTTGCTTGTTTGGGTAAAGCTTTGTTTAAGCCCCCTTATAAAGAGGAATTTGCCAGCCTATGCTTGCCCAAACATCTAGAGAATAACTAGCAAGGCAGCCAAGATAAAGAGGCAGGATCTGCAAGAATCGTTAGCAACTGAGCATATTTCTATAAACCAATAAAGGTTTTTCTATTTTGTTCATCTGTTACCCTTATGCTGTTGCCACTTTCACATGCAGTGTCTGTAGGCGGGAGTATGAGATAACAGCATTGCACAAACGAAAGCGAGTGGAAAAGGGCTGCTTCCCCTTTAAGGCAGCTTCAGCCCCAACTCCCTCCCCTTTCCTGATTGACAAACCTACCCGAAGTCACATGATCCGCCTCTATTTGAAGGTCACAAAAAGCTGCTTCCTTTAGAGACAGAGGGGGAGAGAGAGAGCAAGAGGGAGAGCGAGTGAGAGAGAGAGTTAGTTCAAGCCAAAATGGCCGACAGAGTCTCTGCTGGTTTCTGAATATTTAAAATACAAAAAAACAGATAGACAAAAAGAATTCATTTTTTGGACCTTTTTTCATTTCCATTTCTACCTTGTATGCCTCAATTTGCTGGATTTAAGCACTGCTGCACTTTATGAGGTTGGTAAATATTTTCAATTTTTTTAAACCAATTGATTTATATGGATCTTGTCTAACCGTTTTCACTAGTGCTGTTGCAAATCGACATTTGTCTAGCATGGAGACTGGCTTCAGACATTTCATGAATCTTTGTAAATCAGACCCGTGTTGTACTTTTGGTTCGGCATTTTGGAAATGGAAAAGACTTGGTAAAATATTTAAAATTTGAAATGATTGAATTGAACTTTTAGCTTATATGTAGATTTTCATCATCCTTTCTTTCTTGCAAATAAGTAAAGCTGCAAGCAGTTGGAAATTTGATATTTAGAAAGAGGATTTTTAAAAAAAAACACAGACCTCCCCCTCCCCCCTTAAATCTGCTGCAAAAATTTGCATAAATATAAATGGGTTTGCATTCTTTCGGCTGCTAAGGCCGACAAAGGATCTGGGAGGACAAGCCCTAGAATGGAAAAGCCTTCTTCTTCTTCTTCTTCTTTTTTTTAAACCGCGCCATCCTTCCTAGAGAGATGTAAAACCTAAAGCAAGACCTGATACGTTTTAAACCTCAGGTTGGGGGCGAGCGAACGCCAAGAGGTTTGGGGTTTGTAGATTCTTCAGCTTGAAAACCTCCCCGGCAATATGTGGCTCACCCTCTCTGCGCGCGCTCGCTTGCATTGGGTCTCTGTGTGTGCTCAAATGTGCAGCCAGATGCGCTTTTATTTTGATCATGGTTTCAACCAAATGGTAGGACTATCTTGTAAACATGATATCTTAAAGATATAAACAGCTGTTCACTCTGATTAAGAATTGTTTCTTTTCCAATTCCACCTCTAGATTGGCCTCCATTCCCCACGAAATAAAATTGTCATTTAATTTGGTACAGATGAATAACTAGGCTTTTCAGCACAAATTCAGGGTGTACGTGTGTGTGTTTGCTGGTTTCGGCCGTGTATCCATTGTGAAGTGGTCATTTAGGGTCACATAAATAAGCAGCCGTGTGATTGCTAGTAACCCCCGAAACTGTGCAGTGCCTCAAGTTAAATTCCATTACTCCTAATGCAGGATTCTGGAAGCCTGTAAGCAGGGAGGAAAGAAAGCTGAAAACTTGCTTTCTCAGAGCCACCTCCCCCTATCATTGTGAGGGTGTGATGTAATGGTTCCTGGTCTGGTGGGCTGAAAGGGCTGTAGTTTGTGATGTGGCGGGTAAACTGCCCCCACCCGGGTAGATCACCCCACCCCCTCGCACATCCCTGGCTCTGAGAAGCCTTGTTTTCTTTTCTCTTTTTTTCCTTAATTTGTATCCTCCTGATTTATGCCTTGGCATATTGGCATGAGAAAGAGACTGTTCTTCTAAATCTGTTACAAAGTATAGTTTAGAAAAGGCATTTAAAATATGCAAATGGATTGAATTGTCATATCCCCATCATTAAATATGTAGGCTTGGATTAAAGCTAATTAAACATAAATGGAATAATTTTGATCAGAAGGGAGCAGTGTTTTTTGTTGTTTCCTTTTTAATTAATCTAATTATGAGATATTTGCTGGGTCTGAAAGTGTTAAAAAAATAAAATGGGAAAAATGCTGGACCATTTTGAAAATTTGACAGTCTGGAAGAGGGTGTGTAGTGCTTTCAAAAGCTTTATTCACTGTTAAAATGGATTGGCCTCTTGTGCTGAAAATGGCCTGTTTCTTTGGGCCAATTGTGTGTAGATGAAGGGACTTTCACGCTAATTTAACCGAAAGACTTTCCATTTGAATAATAAAGATAATTAAAGTCCTCTGTCTCTAAAGAGCAAGTATTTTATTATTTTTTTAAAAAGTAATGTTGTTGTATTAGTAATGGTTATAGGAGAGAAGTGATGGTTTAGATTCAGTGTAAATTTTTTGCTGATATAAATTCAGCTTTTGTGTTCAGAGGGATTGGAAACATGACATTAAAGAGGTAGCTCAATTTGTCTCTTTAATTTATTTTTACAGTTGGAATTTAAAGAAAAAGGAATTACCTTAGTGGTGGGGAGTGTTGCATTGAGGTGGGCCCGAGGAAAATTAGAGCTCTGATTTTTGTTGTTTTCTGAAAATGAAAGCAATTATTTGGGGCTTTACTTGTTGGATGATTCATTTTACACCCATTTCCTAAGTTGGCCTCACTGAAGAAAAGAGGAAAACCTCAGCTTTCCGTGTTTCGCCCTTAGCTTGTTCTTGGGGACTGTGTGAACATGTGAATGGCAGGTTGATTCAGCTTGCAGAGCCGAGGAACCAAAGAGGGTGCCTGCTTTCCTGCAGAAAAGGGAAGGGTAACGACTAGCAGAAGGCCATCTCATTCATTGGCTTTTTTTTTTTTTTTTTTTTAAATAAATGTTTTTTCCCCCTGAGATAGTTGAAAGTTGATATAAATAAGGCCTGGTCTCACTGGTAGTAGGCATGATGGCTTTGGTGAGTTTTACAAGCTCAGCTGCCATTTTGGATCTGAGTTCCTGCAAAGCCAGTCCTTGTGGCTCACCAAATCGGTGGACATTCAGAGCAAACGAAAATAGGTAATATGTCCTTTGTATAAATGGATATTATTCAGTTTGTGCCTTTTGTTGAAGGTTTTCTGTGGGTAGTATGAATTGAAGCTTTAAAAACTTAAAAGGTGTGCTTGATGTTATGAAGAGCACGACCCAGAGGTATTCAAACTTGCATGTTGTGGTTTTACTTTTTATTTATTTTTAATCTATTTATTTTTTATTTTTTTGGTACTGAATTGAACCCAGGGGTGATTTACTACTAAACTACATCCGTAGTCCATTTTACTGTTTTATTTTGAGACAGGGTCTTGCTAAGTTGCTGACACTGGTCTGGAACTTGTCATCCTCCTGCCTCAGCCTCCCTAGTTACTGGAATTATAGGTGTGCACCATGGCTCCCAGTTGTGGTTTTACTTTTTAAAAATCAAAGGAAGTTCATTCGTTCGTTCCTTCCTTCCTTCCTTTTCCCTTCCCCTTCCCCTTCCCCTTCCCCCTCCCTCCCTCCCTCCCTCCTCCTCCTCCTCTTTTTTTTTTTTTTTTTTTTGGTGTGTGTGTGTTGTGCTAAGATTGAACTCAGGGCCTGTGCATGCTAGGTAAGCACTCTATCACTGAGCCATTTCTCAGCCCCCAGAGGAGGTTTCTTATTGGAGAAAGTAAATGTGATCCTTACTAAACTTCCTTCCCCACAATCTGAATTTATGCTGACTCGTGATTTATAGTGCTGTCATTATCCACAATACTGCTGTGTTTTAGAAAGAAATGCCCCAGGCTTATCACTGAAATGTCACAAAAACTGATAGTGTTTATCAAAATTGGTATCTTTAGGGCTGGGATATATAGCTCAGTTGGTAGAGTGCTTGCCTCGCATGCACAAGGAACGTCCTGGGTTCAATCCCCAGCACCACCAAAACAAAAAAAAACTGGTGTCTTTAGCCTGGTGAGGTGGTACCCTCCTGTAATACCAGCAGCTCAGGAGGCTGAGGCAGGAAGATCACCAGTTGGAGGCCAGCTTCTGCAATTCAGCAAGACCTTGTCTCAAATTCTAAAAACTAATTTTAAAAAAAGAACTAGGGCTATAGCTCTGTGGTAGAATACCCCTGGGCACAATCCCCAGCCCCACCAAAAAAAAAAAAAAAAAAAAAAAGAGGAGGAGGAGGAGGAGGGAATAAAAATGGTATCTTAATTCTAAAGTGTTTTTCAGGCCTTCCATCTGGTTCCCAGAAAGTATTGGCATCTTTGATCCATGGTGTGAACCCAACTCTGTTGTTGAGCTTTGAATGGCCATTTATTATTTGCTCTTGCCACTAGGACAGTCTTTAAAAATAAACTACTAAAATTTGGAGTAGAGACTTTGGTAGCTTCTCCAGCTCTTTAACCATTTCAGAGACCCTGCAGGAATGATAGGTGATGCTGAGACCTTCTGGTCCTGCGGGTCAGGCCTAGTAGTTAGAAGAGATATGGGGTGACTCTCACCCTACACAGCTGTTCCATGACTGAAAGGTTTGGGGGAATTTAACTTTTATAACTCTGATCATATAATCCTTGATGTCTGCAATTTACCTGGCTTGAGGTATGACACAAGTGAATGTACTTTGGATCCCTCTCCTTAAGGAATATCAGTCTAAAAAGTTGTTACAAACAGGTCATCTCAACTTGGTGTTATGTATGCAATATTAAGAATAAGTGCCAGGGTTCAGAAGTATCCTGAGTATCTTTGTTGGGAGAGCTGATATTTAAAGAAGTCAGATAATTACTCTTACTAGTTTTGAGTCATCATTTAAGTATTATATATATATTTTTTTATGTGGAACTTGTGATTGTAAGATGGGGTTTCTGACCATTGGGGACCTACAGCCGTCCCACCCTGAATGCATCTGATCTTGTCTGATTAGAGAGGGGGCAGCATTTGCTAATTGCTTCCTACTACAGTATTGTTTATGGGTTTATACTAATCCTGATTCCTTCACCTGCTTCTTGAGATTAAGACTGGTGGCAGAGTGGGGTGAGGTGAATTGAAGCCACTTAGCTTGAAAAGGGATTTAACCCATGAGAGTGATGTCTTAATATGGTCTCTCTTCCTTCCTTTGTATATTTATTCAGCAGTCATTTATTATACCCTGATGTAGGTGCTGAGGAATCTAAGAATTAATTTGGTCAGACCATAATTCTGGATGCTACTTGGTGCATGTGGAAATACTTGCTAACTAGAAACTGTGTAACTTACTGGTTTTGAGTTTTGACTTGGTTAACACTATAGTTCTCTTTACTAATAATCCTAGAGAATGAGTGGTTATTTTTGCTTCTAGTTGTTTCCAGGAATGCTTAACCAGTGAGCCACATCCCCAGCCCTGTTAGGTTTTTTTTTGAGACAAGGTCTCACTAGGTTTCTTAGGTCCTCACTAAGTTGCTGAGGTTGGCTTTGAACTTGTGATCCTCCTGCCTCAGCCTCACAAATCTCTGGGATTACAGGTGTGCACTACCATGCCTGACTATCCTTATTTTCTTTAGCTCCTTC